CTGTTCTCGTTGCCTTCGCCGGTTAGCATTACATGATTTTATATCTTGTTTGAACAAACAATAAATATTATTGAGAGCTTCGCTTTTAGTCCTGGCTAAATCTATGTATTAAAACATGTAGATGATCTATCAGGTGAGTCAATCTGATTATTTCTGATGATTGATTACGAAATCCCAGCCAATTCCCGACACTACTCTCTATAACAAGGTATGAGTGGCTACCAGTACAAGAGTACTTCATTTTTATAAGGGCCATATAATAAGTGTTTCATTATGAAAAGGCGACAGAAAGCTTTCCACCATCAGAGACCCAGGGGCCGGTATTTGAGAAAGGATAATTTATTTTACAAGTAAAATTGTTGTTAAGTTTTTGAAAAGCATCCCGGCAGACTTGACGAGTGGTAAAACAAATCAGTCTTCATAATATAAACCGTACCTCTTTCTGATTTCTGGTCCTTGACAAAGCCACTGAGACCAGTGTGAACAAGCTTTAGATATTCAAGCAGGGATTTCTTGTTTTCTTTCCAAAACCGTTCAAGTGTAGACTCAGATGGAAACTTGCAACAGCTGACTTCAACAGTAATTTCAAAAGCATTGCTTCTAACATAGTTGTAATCTTGCATGCCACCAGTGACTGAATACCACTGAGCACCATTTGTGATGCCTAGGAAAGAGTGATCAGGGATTAGAACCAAATATTTGAGCAAACATAAAAACTAGGCATGGATCCCTGTTGGTTTTCACCATTTTAACAAAAAGCAATTAGGTTCCAGTTGTTCGAAACTTGGATAAGGCTACCAAATAGATAAATTTCTGTTGACAGCGGACAACTATTAGGGAAACCACTAGATTGCATTATTTAATTATTATTCATTCAAAATATTTTGCAGTTTCTGATTGACTCAAATCCACTGGCTAATTCTTCATTACCAGCTGGTCTTGACCAAATTTGGAAGATGGAGTCATATAACATCGATTTGATGGTATATTTGCTTGGAAAAGAGGTTGATCAATGTATATTTGCCTGGAAATGAGGGTGCTTGGGCAACAATGAACCAAAAAAAGTTGTGAATCCAATTCAAATAGCTGAATTTCTGACAAAACTGGACAGAAGAAATGTAAGAATATGCAAAACTAACTTATTGCTTGAAGCATATTATCTACTTTTTGAGGATTATCTGCCAGTAACAAGCAACTGTTAATATCATGAAACTGTCCCAAAAAATAGGCTAAAGTATAAAAGAAAGTCTAGGAGGAGGTAAGTTTGTAACTGTGAAACACACAGAACCGTAAACACCAGAAATATTTATGGAATGTTATTGTGTTGCAAGGAATTAGCCAATAAGGCACGAGATAAATAAATTGTAAATATCTTATTATCCACTCCCCACAGGGCTTTTCAGGGATGATTTACAACACTGGTTGGGGGACTTTGCCACTCTGCTTAAGGTGCAATTTATAAGTAATGAAGGAATGAGTAATGATGCCCCCATATGAATGTGAAAGTGAGATAGACCACTACATCGGACACTATGCGCCCTACTCTTTATGAAGAGTGTGTGGGTTCTTTAACATCCCACAGATTTATTACATGTGCAAGGGCTTGCGAGACGGGGCCTACGGTTTATCGTAGATGTTATTACAAAGGCAGGACTTTCTCCTCAGTTATTTAAAGACCCTGAGTGTTGGTCCGGCCGGGGTTTGAGCCTACGGCCTCCCGCTCAGCAGACCGGCACTTATCCCATTGAGCTGACCGCGCGGTGGTAAACAGCAACAGTAATTAGTTTGTAGTTTTGAGGTTTGCTTGCATATTCCTGAACTTTACTGTAATTGGCCAGTACACCATGAACATTCCTGAAATTTTTTAGGTGTTCACATCATACTCAATAATAATTGTTAATTATCCATTGGATAGTGATTTAATCAGTGGATAGTATTTCTCTCCTTTTAAACAAGTGCAACAAGACAGATGATTTACAATGAAAGGAAATAGCTTTTTAAGGGTGTGTTCAGTTGGGAAATCTGGATTTAGATTTTAAAATCCGGATTTGCAATCGAACAAGAAATCTGAAAATGGCTTTTAACACTGAAATATCTGTTTTTGGATATCCTTTTTAACGTTCCATTGGCAAAATCTGAAAAAGGATTTGAAAACTGTCCTTAAGAACAGCTGTCTTGCGCACGTGCATAGTCAGCAAAAAGAAGACCTCTGTTGATGAGAATAGTTTTGCAATCCTTTTTTGGATTTCCCAATTGAACGGTAAAAAGGAAATCCATGAAATCAAGATTTGGATTTCTTGATTGAAATCCACCCTGAGGACAGTTTTCTCAGAAAGGAATTAATCTGTTTTCGGTTTTTACGCTTGATTGCAAATCTGCAATCCCGATTTCCCAATTGAACGCAACCTTAAATTTGCAGTTATTTCTTATGATGGATGGTTTGGAACTTAGTAGTGTTAGGAGCACTTGCCACTCGTGTTCATTCAGAAACTCCCAAATTCTTACCTAAATCTACATCCTATAATAATTTATTGGTCAAGTACCTTGTTGGCATAAAGAACATGAGCAATGCAATGTCTTTTGGAAGAGCAACAATAGTTTGTTGTTCCTTTGCACAATGACTTTCACAATACCAGAAGCATGCCATATGAGCCTCAGAAACATTTTTTCAATGTGAATTCTTGTACAACAATGTATGTTTAATTTGGTGAAGGTGATTGCATTTATTCTATATTATCATTTTTTAAAACAAAAAATGAGTCAACAGCTACCAGCACCCGGAGGATCATGCTCAAGCTACTTATGAAATAAAGCGATGCTATTACATGTAGACAATAAAAAGATAAAAGATAAAAGACAGTATACAAATCTTACCATCCTTGAAATTATCGCCATCACATTGTGCTTTATTCAGATGCATTGTTGGGTGGTTTGAAGAATAAGTTAATGCCAACTTTCGAAAAATGTCATCATCAGTTGTAGCACTATATACACTACGTTTGTCGGCTCTATCATCATAAGGGTAATTTGCCACTAAGGAACCCCCATGGAAGTTAGCTGACAGAACAAAGGGATTTTCATCAATCCATTTCTTCACAATAAGAGTTTCTTTTTGTAATTTACTTTCATCTGCTGCTTTGTTTTCATCAAACCGGTCTGGAAAATTTCTGGATGAAAACAAAC